CTACATTCTACATTTTAAAAATTTCCAGAATGATAATAACCCGGTTGTCTATTCATGTCGAACTATACAAATAAATTAGACGAAAAAAACACTTTATAATAAAAAATAACGAACCAAATAGAATATAAATTTCCTTTTAAATTATTTTAATATAATATGTCAAACATAATATTCAATCTGTCTTGGGCAGTTGGGCTACAATCAATAGGATAGTATTTTTGTTTTAATTATTTAATTATGTTGTACTTTTGTACTATCAAATTTATCAAGTAAATTAATAGTTGTATACTTGTACCTATTTAAAAAGCAAACACAAATAACAATTTATATTCCATTTTGTGTTCTGTTATAGCTAAGGATTACAATACCATTACAATACCTGTTTAATACCATAGATATGTATATAATATGTCTTATACATAGGCCATAGGCGTGCGCACGGGGTGTTCCGGGTGTGCCTGGGCACCCCCTGACATTTAATTGGGGCCCTAAAATATGTAATATTTATTTGATGTTTAGCATTGTACAAGTTGTTCATATGAACAGGTAGTTATATTTGAAATTAAATATTGTGAAAAGTAAATTCAGAAGTATCATGACCCAATACTGTTCGGAATCATTAATTTTACTTTTTACGGAACAAGAAATGGCCTCTAATGTTGAAGTAGATTTAGTTATTACTTATTAATGAGTTTAATAATTTAAGTAATAGACGCATATTATTATAAATCTATAACTGTTGTATTAGAATGTTAAATAAACATGTAACTAACTACTAAGTAAGTAATATTTATTTGTACAATATAATTTACTAAAATATGTATTATGTACAATGTGCATGTCTTGTTAAGAGAGGGCCCAAGTTAAGGAAAGGGCCCAAAAATATTGTAGGAAACTAGGAACCCCCCGAAATCCAAGTCTGCGCACGCCTATGACATAGACTGACATACCGTCACCGCTCAGAATCGTTTTTCTTATACAATGATATTATATCATTGAATTCAAATTTAATACCATCCATTATACAGTGACCCACTTGTAACCTACTGTACAGCAGAGCGACACCCACTTGCCCACCTTTTTTTAATTTAAATTCATTTTTTATTAATATTTGTTTAATAGCAGTTTTTAGTTGCACCACGTTCGGATAATTATTTTATCCGCCTCCTTTTTCTGTATGGAGCAACCGTCCAACACATTACGAAAATAATATTTACATCGACACACCGACGATATTTACGATATCACGATGTTACAATATAATATATTAATATATTTCCAATAACTTCTAAACATTTTTATTTTTAGATAAGTATAATTTACAAGTATTTGCCGGTCTCGAACTCTCCTCTGACGAGCCGCCCCGGGTATTATCGGGCACAAAACGGCACTACGTCAACCAACACAATTGCAGTGTTTATTTACATATATACGAATTATTGTACAAAAATGCATTGTGAAACATTAACAATGATGTTGGACCCGAGCGGTCGATTTTCTACGAAAGTAGTAACCAACAAACAATAGGAAAATTGGTTGGGTTGGCGTGCGGTGCAGTCTGTTAAATGTTGCGCCGGGTCCGCATACAATAATATAATATTATCATGAATATAAATAGTATACATTATAGTTTATATCATAATATATATTATATTATATATATATATATTTGTATATAATATATTATATAATGTATAGTAAATAGTATATATATAGTATTATTAATTATAGTATATTAGTATCTATAAATAATCATAATGATATTGTACACAAACGGTGACCCGTGAGCAATGGCGGAACTAGGGGGGTGAAGCCGGGGATTGATCCCCGGGCGTAAAATTTTAGTGGGCGTAATTTTTCTTTAGTTCTTTATTTAATGCTTGGTGATAGAAGTTAAGAAAACATTTTTATTTCACATTATTTGTTTATGATGTTGTAGTGATGACGTTGGAATTAATGAAAAAAATTATATAAAGTTAATGGTATTATGAATAGAATATAGATTCATATTAGTATACTAAGTATATACTGGTATACTGGCATTAGCATACCTACTGCAAGCATATACAACTAATATACAATAATTATTAAGATTCTGAGTGAAAATGTAACTAGTAACCATACCTATAGGCATTTATTGATGCTGTGTTTTCGTTAAAATTTCTGATAACTACACAATAACTGTTATAAGATTATCAATCAACGTACGATACGTATATTATATCTGTATATTAAAAATGATGTTAATTATATAGTTTTTTTTTTTTTTTTTTTATTGATCTTAAGCTTCGGCAACTATGGCCATTAGCTGTAATATATAGTTTATAATATTATATATTATAATATTTACCAAGATAGTTATACATTTGTTTATGTTTAAAAAAAAGATTTGATTTTAAATATTTACTTTTTCATTTTTTCTATTATAAATTGTTTAATTAAATACAATTTTTTACTGGCCTAAATTGTGTACCCTAATCAGAATAAAAGATTTTATATTTTACCATAAAAATCTATTATAATTGAAAGCTGAGGCGCATAGAACCAAAACAGCAAAAGGGTTTATAATTTTTATACAGGATAGGTAGGTAATTAAAGTTTTGATTATTTTTCAACATTTATATATAACTAATATTATTATTATTTCTAATAATAAATACAATTAAGTAACCACTACAGTATTTCCAGTAATTAAAAATGTATCAACAATATGTTAACTAAGTTTTTAAATTCAAAGTGTTTTTGGTGTGATAGTTTATTAGTATAAACTTGGTTACACCACAGTCCACAGAATATATTAATTACTATATATTATTATGTGTTTAAAAGTTAATAAGTATGTTTGTAATTAAAAACAGCGCATGGGTACCTGCACGCGGCCGTACGAAAAAATAGTCCCCTGGGCTGGTCGGTCACGAAAAAATAGTCCCCTGGGCCGGTCGGTCGCATTTTACTATGTCCCCAAAAGCTTTGTAGCTCCTAGACTTATTTTCATCTTATAGAGAATTTTCCTGGCTTTCCGAATATATAGGTTTAATGCGGCGCCACCTTCCGGAACTTGGTCGGAAAAATTAAAAACGGCACACCCGCCCGTTCCTATTCAATACGAAAAAATAGTCCCCTGGGCTTTTCGGTCGCATATTACTATGTCCCCGAAAGCTTTGTAGCTCCTAGACTTATTTTCATCTTATAGAGAATTTTCCTGGCTTTCCGAATATATAGGTTTAATGCGGCGCCACCTTCCGGAACTTGGTCGGAAAAATTAAAAACGGCACACCCGCCCGTTCCTATTCAATACGAAAAAATAGTCCCCTGGGCTTTTCGGTCGCATATTACTATGTCCCCGAAAGCTTTGTAGCTCCTAGACTTATTTTCATCTTATAGAGAATTTTCCTGGCTTTCCGAATATATAGGTTTAATGCGGCGCCACCTTCCGGAACTTGGTCGGAAAAATTAAAAACGGCACAACCGCCCGTTCCTATTCAATACGAAAAAATAGTCCCCTGGGCTTTTCGGTCGCATATTACTATGTCCCCGAAAGCTTTGTAGCTCCTAGACTTATTTTCATCTTATAGAGAATTTTCCTGGCTTTCCGAATATATAGGTTTAATGCGGCGCCACCTTCCGGAACTTGGTCGGAAAAATTAAAAACAGCGCATGGGTACCTGCACGCGGCCGTACGAAAAAATAGTCCCCTGAGTAGAGTAAAAAAGAGAGTTCTAGAACCAGAACCTGCTGGCAGATCCCTATGCTCTCGAGCAGAACCCTGACACACGGCAGCAGAGCCCGCCGCCGACGGCAGAACCCACCGCTGGTCGACTACCCCCACCGCCGACGGCAGAACCCACCGACTAGCCGCCGCCGCCGCCGCCGACGTCCGGGGAAAATAAGTTAAAAAATTTTTTCGTCCGACCGGGTTTCGAACCCGAGCCTGTGGATTGGTGAGGGACCACCGTGCCACTGCTCCACCCCGTCACATATACTTATTGGTAATAACTAGCCCTATTTAACTTGTATAAATGTACATATTATTTCTAAGATGTTATCATTTAATGAAAATTATTTCTTATCACGAACGTGTTATCAAGCACCCGTTAACATTTGATAATGAAAATTATTTCTTATCACGAACGTGTTTGTATATATGTTATCACGCCGCACCCGTTATTATTGTGTTTTATTTAAAATATTTGTACACGTTATATATATATTACCGAACATCTACCCCTTCTAACGGACATGCAGCTGCATGCAATATCCCTGCAGTGACACGCAGATGTTCCCCCCACCAAATAATATTCAATGTACACGTTTAACACCGTAAAATGAAATCAGTCGCTCTTCACCCGCCCGAGTGTTCGTGCGTTCGTATCGTTTTCAGCGTTGAATTTATTTCTCAGTTTTTAAAATAAAATTATTTTTCGTTCTATAAAATAAATATGGCCGGACCAGTCGAAAATATGGCTAATATTTGGAAGAAGAAACCTTTTAAATATACTCCACCAACACCACCAGCTAATCTCATCGACTGTAGTAACTTGACTATTGATTTCACTGCTCGGAAGTTTTTAAACATTGGACTAGACCCTACCGACGAATTCAACACCAAGATACATATTATAACAGCTTCACGTCATGTAAATATTCCTGTCGATTTTCTAATGCGTATATTCAGACTTATGGGCAACATTCTATCGTTCATACTCGATCAACCAGAAAAATATAATCGAAAATTATTTTTGGAGACGGATTCAATTTCTTTAACTAGTATGGTGTATCAATCGGAGAACACACTGGTTTTAGAATCAAAAATTCAAGACGGGTGTCGTGTTCTGTTAAATCGCTCCGATCTATTACAGTTGCAAGATTTAGAATCTACTATTTATGATATTATTAAAAGAAAATCTGAAATAGTTAAACCAATTGTACTACATCATATTGAGTTAATCGCTACATTCTTACAATTAAACGTACCGCTACAAAACTCTACACTCGAAATAATGAGAAACCAAGTGAGAAAAATTGACAATAGTTATATCCAAAGACATGTTATTGACGAGGCAATACAATATGGTATTAGTCAGGGCGATTACATTTACACAAATCAAGTAAAATTATACGCAACTGATTCTATCGTTCAAAAATGGATGGAAAAAGTGAAAAAAGATGAGGTATGAATATTTTTTCTTGACTTATTTTATTTTTATGTTAATAAACTAAATTTTTACAGGGAAACAGTAAAGGGTGTTCAATAGCTATTTCCCCGCCATCGTTCAGCAGTTTATATGAGCAGGTAACAAACAGTTTTAAATTTTATTTAATTTTATTTAAATTTCAAATATTTTTTTAGGGAAATCTGGCATTAATCTCACCCTTGTCTCCGTCGGCTGCAAACAAGCAGCATTCGCTATCCACAGAGGAGTACCCCATTTTGCAGTATTCTCTACCCACACAAGAGAGTTGTATCAACCTACAGGATGCTATAGCAATGGTTATATTGTATATATAAATATAATTTATATGATAAATAATTATTATTAATTTTTATAGGCTGTTGATGAGAACGACGGACCCATGTATTTCAACAGAGATCCAACACCCCTGTTCGATTACACAGACCGCAAGTCAAAACCATCTGATCTGTGTCCACCGAATTTATTTTATTAAGTTTTAATAAATATTTTTTTTCTTGTGTGAAATAAAAACAACCATGATATTTAAAAACAAGTTTTTTTATTTATTAGTAATAAGGAAATAATTATAAGGTTACAATATATAAGGTTAAAAAAAAAACACATAAGAATATATTTGGAAAAAAACAAATATAATATAAGAAAAAAAAAATTTACAATTTTCTAACATCACCACTAAATGGGTTATAAGTTATAATCTGGTCGTGTAATATTAAACAATATGCTGCAGTCTTTTCTGGAATAATTGTATCTGATTCAAATTCTATACGTAGATCCACGGTCGATGACTTTACATTATCGTTTTGATGTGATAAATCGACAACGATGATTGGAACAAAGTTTTGATAAATATGTTTTGATAATAATGGTTGACTGTAGTCTCTCTCATAATACGATTTTTGAAAGTCTGTATAGGCCTTATACAGTATACTAGTTGTATTATTTTTAAAATCAGCGCGAAAGTCTTCATATGGAAACACTTCAGAATTTAAGTGAACCTTAAGGTTTTTTAATTGACAGTGATCGAATCGTCCAGCATCATTTTCAATATTTTTTTTTCGATCTGTCTGTAATCCAAACAGCACAAATCTCGGTTTTTCTAGCAAGCTGCTGGACTTTACCGTCCACGAATGAGAAGTATTTCTTGGAAGTATAGGGTATTCATTTAGATCCCAAGTCCGGTATGCACATGACAGTGTTCTATGTGAATCTATTACTTTTACCAGTCTTAATTTTTCTCTATCACTGACTTTGATAATGGGCATCTTCCAAACCACCTTAGTAAGTTCGATTGTAATTTTTTTATTTTTCTCAACGGCTGCGGTTGCACCCTCACCAACAACGTGTATCGCATCCAGGTCGGTAGATGCACGATTTAAAATCAGTTGCTGATTACAATTAAGTAATATTTTTTTATAGTCTTCACAAAATCCGAATAAATGTTTTAGAGGGATACACCCGGTAAATACATCGTTGCTCATAAAATTTTTATTATCTTCACCATCCATTGCCGAATCCCAGCCCGCGTTCTCCAACGTATTCAAATCGTTTGGAGTATACGAGCAGTATGCTTTCAAACAAGAGGAAACTCCAGGTGTTTTTAATTTTTGTATTTCTACCCCGTTTATTTCATATCGCATTTCAGAGAATAAAAATGCTAATCCATTATTTGAAAAACGAACATCTCCAACAGCATCGGCAGGTTTTTTTACTTTTCCCTCGATGAAAATATAACTTTCACACGGTAAAGTGTACGCATCCATATTTAAAATATTTATCCTGATTTCATCGTTATTTGATAATGACATGTTTGAGTACGGAGTGAACGAATGATAATTCATTTGCGTTATTTTACACTCATCGACATAGTCGGCCGTTACGTCTAAATACGAGTCATCCATATTTATTTTTAAGCTTGCAATGAACGGAGAAAATTCAAATTGTTTTTAGTGAGCTTGCTATCGTTTTTCGGTTTAGAGATAGTTTTTTTCGATGTTGACTTCTTAACGGCAGACGGTAAACTGACAGGTTTTTTGATTGCACCGGGTTTTATATTAAACTTGAGCGCCATATCCGCGAGTGATTTGTAGACGGACTGTTATTGGTTCACCACGAAGATTAATTAGACAGTCGTTTTGATCTTTTAGCGCGATATTTACTCTAGTTATTGATCTCGTGTTGAGAGAATAAAAAACTGGATGTCTAGGTACTTCAACGATTTTATACCCTGCAGGTACAGATGGATAAAGCTCGTGTATAGCCTGACTCGGCGTACCGTCACAGAATGAGCCAGTAACTAAGTTGCACTCTACTTTTATACTGTTTATTTTCATTATGTTGACAATATTTTCAGATTCATGAGTAGCACCAGTAGTGTATAGTACATTTCTAAACCCTAATAATTTAGCTATACTATTTCCAACTGATAAGTCCACGTCATGACTACACGACATAATACACTTTAATGTTCTACTGTTTGCTTTTAATCCAAACGCAGTGACATAGTCTGGTAACATATCTTGTATAATACTCTCCAATTGATACAACTCATACGTCCCCGTAGGTATAATTATGTTTTCGTTCTGTCCGATAAAATTTCGGAAACCGATAGTATTACATCCAGGCTCGATGTTTGGTATTGAATTATTTGTCTGTAAGCTCAAAAGGCATATCTGTGCTGTACTTTCTACTTCCAACGGTGGAAAAATGTCGCATGACAATTCGCTCGAATTACCGTTTAATGTTATCGTGTACATGACAAAAATTTTAAACACAAGTGTCCACAGTTTGTAGTATTATATTTCTGTTCTCTGCTATAATTGAATTTGATATTGCACCCGTGAAAATATTTTTGTACTTCTAATGGTGGTGGTAGATTTCCAAAACTGTCATAATATTGAACTTGATTTCCGATTTTTTTATACGCTACCCAGTGAGTACCTTTACCGTTTTCTGTGTCCAAGTTGACAATCACCGATTCTATTCGTTTACGACGAGCAGGCAACCTATCTCGAGTAAACACGCCGACGAAATGAGGTATTTTAATCAAATGAGCCATTTTTATAAGTTCGAAATCGTATAAGGCTCTTCTGGGCAACGTAGTTATTAGTTTTTTTTATTTTTTCTAGTTTTTTTAGTTTTTGAACCCCCACCACTTTTATATGGTGCGAGATTTAAGCCTGATCCGATTTTATACGAATTGCCTTTATACGGTGCGATGTATAATCCGCCACCCAAATGAGATTTTGAATCTCTTTTAAATTCACCGGCCATCTTAACCACGTTGGCAACCCCACCAGTTAGCGCTCCCAGCGCTGACAATCCGGCGAAAATCGGGATGAGCGGTAACACCCCGCCCTTTTTCGGAATTGATATAATCCTTGGAACTTTAGTTTTTTTATTTTTGAATGTTTTTCGTGCGACGGCTAAACATTTTTTACTTAATTTCATCATGTTTTTTTCACCGATATTTTTCTTTATAACGTTTTTAGCTGCTTTGACGGCTGCTTTAAACCCGCATCCAGCCCCGATTTTACGTTTTGCTTTCATGGCGGTAGTTACACCCCAAGCGACAGCCTTTTCTTTTAAACTAGAATCTTTAGACTTGAACCTATCCCAGGCTCGCTGCTCTAATATATAGTCAGCCTGGTTGCGATCTGTGATAGAGTTACTATTATCGTATGCAATATCGTGATCTCTACAAGCAGAGTCTAAAGGGTTTATACCTTTATCACCACGGGCTAAACGTTTTTTTAAATTTGTACCAGGACCACAATATTGATAACCTAAAGAGAGAAATATTATTATTATTATTATTACTAATATGCTCATATTATGATCTCACCAGGCACGTGAAGCTCTAGCGGTAATTTATTTATAAGCGTGTTTATAAGACCAGCGCCTTTATTGTTGATCCTTCTTCGAGCGAGTGACATCGTGTACTGATCAAGTTCGAAGTATTACAGAGATATTTATTTAAAAATGAAATTCCTTAAACAAGATATACAACTCACAGTTGAAAATGTGGATCCACCTACTTTGTATAAAAAACAAAGACATGGATCGCTTCTACCTAATACGATAAGATCACTTATCGTAGGTCCTTCAGGTTGTGGGAAGACTAATTTAATTTTCACATTATTAACACATATAAACGGTATACGATTTCACAATGTCTACATATATTCAAAAACATTGGATCAAACAAAGTATGAATTGTTGAGTGATATTTTATCAGGCATTGATGGAATACAATTATTTAAGTTCTACGAAAACGATCAAGTTATCGAACCTGAAAAAGCTTTACCAAACTCGGTGTTTATTTTCGATGATATTATTACTGAAAACCAAAAGATTGCAAGAACTTACTTTTCCAGAGGTCGACATAATTTAATAGATGTTTTCTATTTAGCTCAGAGTTATTCAAAAGTACCCAAGCAACTTTTGCGCGATAACGCTAATTTTATTATACTATTTAATCAAGACGAGACAAATTTAAGACACGTCTACATGGAACATTGCTCCGGTGATATGACATATCCAGAGTTTAAAGACTTTTGTACTTCATGCTGGCGTAAAGGGAGATTTGAGTTTATCGTTATAAACAAAGACTGTGAACGCGATAATGGTCGATATCATTACGGGTTCGATACGTTCGCTGTTATATAAACTAATGTTTTTTTTAAAAACACTTCATTCGCAAATATGTCGTCTAACGATGAAGTACTCGGAGAATTGATTAAAGCCAAAGAAAATATAAAACGCAAGTATGCCGCATTAAAACACGGAAAAGCTGATATTCATTCGTTAGTAACAGAAACATTAAAACCAATTATCGAACCATTAAACGAGATTCATAATTCGACATCACAACCTCAAGACATAAGTGTACAAAAAGTTGAAAACAATAATACAGAAAATTCTAGAGTTTTTAAAATAAACGAGTTGCTGGATTCATACAACATAGATAAAACGTATGGTCCTACATTACAATCAAACGGAGACGCATATTTGGGTAAAAAAGAAATTAAACTTTCCGGAGATATATTAATTATTGAAGATACATCGTACCCGCTAACACAAGGACTTATTAGTTTAATAATTTCGAAAACTCCGAAAATCTATACCACAGACGATTTAAACGTATATAAGCGCATATTAATTCAAACATCAGCTCATCTGACATCAAACGGGAAAAAAATTAAAAAAGGTGGAAATAAATACACTGATATAATCAAGCCATTGTTCCCATCTTCGGGTAGTGGGTTGTCTATGAAATTACAAAATAAAAGTCTAGTGTACTGGAATGACCCTAATG